GGAGAGTGAAGTCCAACTCCCCCTGAGTTTGTTGTTCTTAGCGCTGTGTTCACACTGATGAGACGGGGCTTAACTTCAGCAAGTTCATGTTTCACTCAGAGGATCAAACATTTTTTCATACATGTTTATTTCACTTAAACTCCTCCCTCTCTACCCGTTAGCCCTGCCCCCACACGGAGGAAGAGAGAGACGGCCCCGCCCACTCAGGGACGCTGTTCTCAGAGGCGTAGAGTGTCGTCAGGAGTACAACTGAAGGATCCAGGCTTTATAACCAGATGACGACCAAATCAACTTAAGGCTGCATATCTGAAGACACCTACAGACGTCCCCACTCGGCTAAACCTAACACAAAGGGAGGGAGCTGAGGGACAGAGGAGGCGTGGCCAAAGAGAAGCTTTGTTTTGGTTTGGGAGACAGGTCGCTAAAGGGCGACATCTACTGGACGTCTACTCTGAAAGTTGCAGATTATTCCTTTAATTGGGGCATTTTCTGCTGAAATAAATTAGCAAAGAATGATTCACCTGAAAGAAATCTCATATTTAGATTCAAGAAATGTGACCCTCCTGTTTGGGACGGTAAACCTGAGGGAATATCAAATCAAACCTCCCTGTCCTGTCCCTCCTTCTCCTCTTTGTTTTCACTCTACTTCCCCTCTTCTTCTTCTTTAGTTGTCTTTGTTACGGTGTTTGAGGGGGCGGAGCTTCACTCTGTGGCACCAGCTTCTTTTCGAGCCGCGCGACTCGATGTTTTAGTTTGCTGTGAGTGGCCTCGTGTTCGGCCAGCAGCCGAGCGTAACGAGTTTGCAGGACGTCCAACGTGCCCGTCATCCGCTCCACCTTCTCCTCCATCTCTTTGGGGTCGGGGCCCTGCGCTGCCACCTAGAGGACGTAGAGAGCAGTGATACTTTCAGTTCAGCAGATGAACCTCTTTGTTTTTTTTTGTTATCAGATCGGGTGACTGTACCTCCAAGTCCAGAAGCCCGTCCTTCATCAGAATCTGTCTTCCCTTCTCCTCCAGCAGCGCTTTAGCATCAGGGTATTCTGTTAGCGCCTCCATCAGGTCATCTTTGGAAAGACAGAAGAGGTCAGAGTAACCGATGCTCCTGATGTTAGCCGTCCTCCTGTTTCCTGCCTTACTTCCTGTTGAAAAAAATAAAGATTAAACAATTGTTTACTGTCGTTAATGAAGTCTCTAAGCCTTGATTTCAGTTTACCTTTGATAGCCAGGATGCTAATCTCTCCAAAGTAGCTCCCGTCACTTAGGACCACAAACTGTTTGATTCCGTCGTCAGCAACGACAGCCAGTTTCCCCTCCTTGATGATGTACATCTCTCTGCCGATGTCGCCCTTCTTACAGATGTAGTCACCTGGACTGTACACCTGAGGCTGCAGCTTCAGCACCAGCTCCACCAGAAGGCCGGCCTCGCAGTCCGCAAAGATACGAACCTGCAGGAAGACACAGGAGAGAAACTGGACGTTCATTTGTCTACATTCAACATAAACGAACATCGGGAGGAGTGGGGGAGGGGTTCGTGTGCGCACCGACCTTCTTCAGCGTGTCCAGATGGACGTTGATGGCGATCTCAGCTCTCAGCTTGTCAGGCAGGAACTTCAACACCTCCCTCTCATCCACCGCTTTCTTATTGGTCCACAGGAAGTCAAACCACTTGATCACTCGCTTCTCCAGGTCCTTGGTAACCTGGAGGGGGAGGGGCAGAGAGCAAATATAACAACAAAACAAAAGTGCTGGCAGCACACTTTTTACAGGTGAAATGACTCTTAACTAAACTAAGCAGCGCACCTTTCTGAAGCTCATGTACTGTTTGATGGCATCAATGCGAGCCTGGAAGTTGGCTCTGGCGGCGTTCATGTTTGTGATCATTGAACCAACATTACCGACAATGGTTGCAAAGATCAGCACGCCCACCTGCAGGTGAAAAGAGCCAAGCAGGACAGAATATCAATCAATCAATCAATCAATCAAACTTTATTTATACAGCACCTTTCAGACAAATTAAATTTCAGTTCAAAGTGCTTTACAAGAGTGCAGAAAAGTAGTTTATAAAATCACTGAGAGACTAATGCACACCAATAAGAATTAAAAACTATATATATAAAAATGAAAAAATAAAATACAAAACATAAAAGCAATAAGATATTATATAATATCAAAGTAAGTAAATGTGAAGAATATTTCTAAACTGCCAGACAGCACACAGATATAACGACAGGAGAAATAATGTCATATCAAATATTAAAAATTTCACTTGAGTATACAAAACGTGTCAGAAAGTGTTACATTTAAAGCACTCTATAGTCAGAATGGCCCTTAACAGTAAATATCAGTGTTTTTAACGGGATCATTATTACACAGGAGAATACTCAAGTTGATAACAAGTATCTCAAAACAAACCCTAACCCTATTGTTTGTCATCTAAAGTTTGGTATTTTTCTAATGTACTTACACATGTTTATGCATATTATGATTAAATCAAATAAAACATTTTACTCTGAAAATCTATTTTATGGATAGGTTTTGTCTTTGTGTTTATGCAAACCCACCAGGAAGTCAGTAACGACAAAGAAGTACTCCGAGTTCTCCACAGGGGGCGGAGTTTCTCCGATGGTGGTGAGCGTCAGGGTGGACCAGTACATACTGTAAGCGTACTTCCTCACCAGGCGCCCAAACTCTGGATCTGCCGGGTCGGGATACACAAACCTGTCTGCACCGAAACCTGGAATGACAAATCAAGAAAAGAAGTGAGTGTTTGAAACAAACACATGAAACAAGCAGCGTCAGGGTTCAAACCAGCCACCCACCGATGGCCTTGGAGAAGGAGTAGTAGAGGCAAGCGTTCCAGTGGATGATGATGACGATGTACATGACCAGGTTGGAGATACGGAGGGCGTTGGGGTAGTTAGTCCTGGTCTCTGTCCTCTGAAAGAACTCAAGCATCCTGAAACAAACAGAAACATAACAAATGAGGGATTCAAAAATCAACAAGTCAGCATTTTATTTGAATATAGCATTTTGTTGCTCATGCTAGCAGTTTAGAAATATAGACATCAATGAGTGTTGGTCCAAACTCAAATATGTCTACATCGTTTGGAGGGATTCTAATGAAATGGGCTCAGACAGTAATGTTCCTGTTTGGAAGACTGCAATAGTGTTGGTGATCCTATGACTTAGCATCTAGCGCCATCATCAGGTCAACAATCAATAAGTCCAAAACACTCGGTTGTAACCCAATACCAACAGAACTGATTACATTTTAAATCAGCCTCAGCTAGACTTTGTGTTTGGTGCTTTTAAGCCAGAATGATATTAAATATATATTCATGAATGTTATATTTATACTACAGCATTAATAAAGGATTTTGAGCTATTTACTTTCTGAGAGTAACTTTGGTTCTGAGAAATGCTGTCACACGTGTGAAGGTGTGTGTACCTGTTGAACCTAAGGAGCTTATTGAGCCGGATCTCCGGGTACTTGAGGCCCAGGATCGAGTACAGCAGGTCGGTGGGAACCATGGAGGCCATGTCCAGTTTGAACTGGAAGCTTTGCAGGTAACGCTCACGCAGCTTCTGCTCGTCCTTTACCAGCAGACCCTGCTCCAGGTAACCTGCACAAACACAGTAATATGAAATCTATTTGATAACATGTTTGAACTAATGCTTCAGTGTGTGCATCACAAAATCTTTCCGTGTGTGTGTCTTCATACCAGTCCTGGTTCTGAAGATCATGTCAGCGATATAGACGAGGTCAGAGAAAAAATCCATAATGAACCAGAAGACAATATAGTCCGTCTGTAGCTCCTCGAAACATGCCCTGAAACACACAGACACACAAATCTTATCTTCTATCTTTCAGAGTTTATAGTGTCATATTACCCATCAAGAACATTACGCTCCAGATTGCAGACCTCCTTGAGGTACTACAGTCTTCAAATGTACAATCTATAGGCTTAAACTGATATAGCTGCTTTAGGCATAGACTGGTATAGATGCTATAGGCTAAGACTGATATAGCTGCTTTAAGCTTAGACTGGTATAGATGCTATAGGCTAAGACTGGTATAGCTGCTATAGGCTTAGACTGGTATATCTGTTATAGGCTTAAACTGGTTTAGCTGCTATAGGCTTAGACTGGTATAGCTGCTATAGGCTTAGACTGGTATAGATGCTATGGGCTTAGACTGGTATGTCTGTTATAGGCTAAGACTGGTATAGCTGCTATATGCTAAGACTGGTATAGATGCTATAGGCTTAGACTGGTATAGATGTTATAGGCTTAGACTGGTATAGCTGATTTAGGCTTAGACTGGTATAGATGCTTTCGGCTTAGACTGATATATCTGTTATAGGGTTAGACTGGTATATCTGTTATAGGCTTAAACTGATATAGCTGCTTTAGGCTTAGACTGATATAGATGCTATAGGCTTAGACTGGTATAGATGCTATAGGCTTAAACTGGTATATCTGTTATAGGCTTAGACTGGTATAGATGCTATAGGCTTAGACTGGTATAGATGTTATAGGCTTAGACTGGTATAGATGTTATAGGCTTAGACTGGTATAGATGTTATAGGCTTAGACTGATATAGCTGCTTTAGGCTTAGACTGGTATAGATGTTATAGGCTTAGACTGATATAGCTGCTTTAGGCTTAGACTGGTATATCTGTTATAGGCTTAGACTGATATATCTGTTATAGGCTTAGACTGGTATAGCTGCTATAGGCTTAAACTGGTATAGCTGCTATAGGCTTAAACTGGTATAGCTGCTTTAGGCTTAGACTGGTATAGATGCTATAGGCTTAGACTGGTATAGATGCTATAGGCTTAGACTGGTATAGATGTTATAGGCTTAGACTGGTATAGCTGCTATGGGCTAAGATCAAAACCAGGTTGTTATCTTACATAGGGGAGATTGAACCTGTTTCTCCCAGGATGTTGATTTGGCTAGTAAACCATGGACATTTTTCAGACTCACCTGTGATAGTCCTCAGATAGTTTTGGGTTTCAAACTTATAGTTTGCTCAAACCTTAAGACCAAAGCGTTTGCTTCCACAGCACATCTTTTGAGCATTTCTGGATTATGCAATGGTTGTTTTAGGTTTGAGTACAGGTTAGGGTTAAATGTTGTAAAATAAATGTTGATAATGGAAAACATTGTAGATTTAAGAGTGTGCATGTGTGTGTGTGTGTCTGTTACCTGGCAATGATCAGGGTCCAGTTGTACATGACGGGGATGGTGATTATAAACAGCCAGTGGTAGTAGGTGTTACCTGCCGGATCAATCACTGTGATCTCCTTGGGACTGAACACATGATCAATTGTGAATGATGATTATTTGTTGCTTCTTGAATTAGTAAAATGATTACTCTGCAGTCTGAGAGATTTAAGAAAACAAAGCTCCCAATATTTGATTCAGCTGATCCCAATAAACCAAACCTACGCCTCCTCTATGGCCTTCTTCTCCTTCTCCTTCTCTTCTTTCTCCTTCTGTTTCTTCTCCTTTCTCTCCTTCTTCTCCTGCCTCTCCTTCCTGGGAGATATGAGTACGTACAGAACAAAGAAAAGGGTTTGGATGACTCGCTGGACGATTACTCATATATCTTGTGATTTCGAATGGAAAAGAATAAATTCATATTCAGTGTTTTCTTATCACTATTCTCAGGGTGATGGGTTTGACTCACTCTTTCTTCTCTTTTCTTTCTTTCTTCTCTTTCTTTTTCTGCTTTTTATCCCTAAAAGACAGGAACAGGAAACACACCACTTTAACTTCCTATATCTATATGGTTTATGTATTCAATTATAAAATAATCAGTCTATCCAATCAACTCAATCAATCAATGGAATTATTAGAAATCTCTCCCTCTGTTTGATGCATCTGGTACTACAACTGTTGGATAGTGTGTGTGTGTGTGTGTGTGTTTGTGTTTTACTCTTCTTTGTTGTTATTGCTGTTATTGACGTTGAACAGAACTCCTGGCTCGTCTCTCTGAGCAACCCTGAAACAAAGGAAATAAAAAGAAAAATCGCTCTGTGTACTTTAAACCCTCCTCAAGGACTACCTCTTCAAACCTCTTCAAGGACCATTTGAACATCCTCCAGGGTCAGTGTTAGGTTTGGATTAGGGTTGGAGTTAGGGGAACCTGGGTTCATCAGGCTAAAATAATGGTACAAACGTCTCGTGGGTTCTTGACAATCGTTATTTGGATCTAACTTTTGACCTGTGAACTTACCGGTCTTCATCGCTGTCTTCACCTGGCTCCTCCTCCATGTCTAGTAGAATTATTTTGGGTGGACTTAATCTGGTGATGGGGGAGGGGACTAATGGAACTACCTTAGCCATGGATGTATTCTTTTGCCTGACTTCCTGGTTAGATAAAGAGAGAATTAATGACACAGACAAGCAAAAAGAAGAGAGGGATTAGTAAGGTCCAAAGCTGGACTACGACCAGTCTGGGCCTCAACATCTGTTTCAAGGTACCCCTCGTTTGCCAAAGCTTTGTCAACCTAGGTTTTCAAATAAAAAAGGTTTTACCACTAGCACCCTAGGCTAACTAACCCGTGTTAGTTTTAAGGTACACCTGAGCAAGGTGGGTACTTTACAGACACTGAAGTGTACTTTAGAGACACTGAAGTGTACTTTACAGACTGAAGTGTACTTTAGAGACACTGAAGGATACTTTACAGACGCTGAAGTGTACTTTACAGACACTGAAGTGTACTTTAGAGACACTGAAGTGTACTTTAGAGACACTGAAGTGTACTTTACAGACTGAAGTGTACTTTAGAGACACTGAAGTGTACTTTACAGACACTGAAGTCTACTTTACAGACACTGAAGTGTACTTTAGAGACACTGAAGGATACTTTACAGACGCTGAAGTGTACTTTACAGACACTGAAGTGTACTTTACAGACACTGAAGTCTACTTTAGAGACACTGAAGGATACTTTACAGACGCTGAAGTGTACTTTACAGACACTGAAGTGTACTTTACAGACACTGAAGTCTACTTTAGAGACACTGAAGGATACTTTACAGACGCTGAAGGTACTTTACAGACACTGAAGTGTACTTTACAGACACTGAAGTGTACTTTAGAGACACTGAAGGATACTTTACAGACTGAAGTCTACTTTACAGACACTGAAGTCTACTTTACAGACACTGAAGTCTACTTTACAGACACTGAAGGATACTTTACAGACTGAAGGATACTTTACAGACACTGAAGTCTACTTTACAGACACTGAAGTATACTTTACAGACACTGAAGGGTACTTTACAGACGCTGAAGTGTACTTTACAGACACTGAAGTCTACTTTACAGACGCTGAAGTGTACTTTACAGACACTGAAGTCTACTTTACAGACGCTGAAGTCTACTTTACAGACACTGAAGTCTACTTTACAGACGCTGAAGTCTACTTTACAGACGCTGAAGTGTACTTTACAGACACTGAAGTCTACTTTACAGACACTGAAGTGTACTTTAGGGTACGAAGGTGCACAAAGCTTTTTTGTGGGACTGAGATTCCAACAACAAATCATCTGTTCAAGAATGTTTCAGGATGACACCTGAAGAACTGTGCAGAACTGTCTGTAAGATTTCATACAAAGTGTTGTATTTTAAGACTGAACGTGTAACATACGGATAAATTCACGGTATTTATCTATAAAAATCTTTTATATTATTTTATTGCTACAACGATGCATTTCCCTTTTCTTGTGGTTCGTACTTTTAAAGTGAGGTACAGGTTTCTGTGATCATTTTGAATATGATCGTTATATTTTTAACAGTTTATTAATTCCCCCCCCACCCTCCCTCCATTATCTCCTTTCTCACCTGTCAGCTGATAATCCGTCCCTTTGTTACGTGGCCTAGATCCATCAACTGTCCATCAAACGTATCGCTTGTGTTTGTTCCCGACCTTTAAACCAAACACTGCCGCTCTGAGTTCCCGTTAAGTCTGAAGTGTGAAGGGGGAAAAAGTGGAAAAGATGGAGGGATGAGGAGGTGAAGGAGTGTTTGTTTGGAGGATCCGGTCTCCTCTGTCACCCTGACGAGGATAAAGAGATTAGAGGAGGGATGATTCTGTGTTTAACACACACATGCACACACACGCACACACACATACACACACACACACACACGCACACACGCACACACACACACACACACACATGCACACAGAGACAACAAGAGGACCAATATTAATGGAAATCTCACCTGCAAAAACGTGCAGTGCTGTCTCCTCGTCTCCTCCCTCCTCTCCTAACTCTAGCAGAGGTCTCGGCGTCTCCTCTCCTAAATCTAAGAGAGGTCTCCTCGTCTCCTCCCTCCTTTCCTAACTCTAGGAGAGGTGTACTCGTCTCCTCCCTCCTCTCCTAAATCTAAGAGAGGTCTCCTTGTCTCCTCCCTCCTCTCCTAACTCTAGGAGAGATGTACTCGTCTCCTCCCTCCTCTCCTAAATCAATGAGAGGTCTCCTCCTCTCCTCCCTCCTCTCCTAACTCTAGGAGAGGTGTACCCGTCTCCTCCCTCCTCTCCTAAATCTTGGAGAAGTTTCCTAGTCTCCTTCCTCCTCTCCTTAATTGAGGAGAGGTGTCCTCGTTTCCTCCCCCCTCATGAATGCAAACAAAATGGGTCCTCCTGAGTCAGCAACCCCGAGAACACACACACACACACGCTCTCACACACACACACACACACACACACGCTCACACACACACACACACACACACACACATACAAACAGAGGCAGCTTTGATAGGCTTATCAGGAATTACACTTGTGTGTGTTCAGTCAACCTAACGACAGGCTGAGAGCTGGAGCTGAGGCGGGTTTTAAACCTCCTGACAAACCGTTACACCGCGCCCACCTGTCAATCAGGTCAGCTACACGCCTTATTGTGAATAACTCTTATCCTTCATCAAATCAAAACTGATGAGTCATCAAAACATTCACCCCCCGTACAGTGTGTGTCCATCCAGACATGAGCTAATCACACCTATTTGGTTTTTTGAACCAGGCTGTAAACATGTTCATCTCTGCTGTAAAAACAGGCTTTTTAGAATGGGTGTGTATGTGACTTCCTGTGCTTCTGCAGCCAGCCTCTAGTGGACACTCCAGGAACTGCAGGATTTTGCACTTGCAAGCATCGGCTTCATTTTTCAACACCGGAGGTTGCTGCTTGGTGAAAACCTGTCTTGATGTTTTGAAGGTTTATGGGCACTGAACGGAGAAAAAGGTTCAGAAACATGTGTGTAGACACCTGAAAACTTAATGAGGTGTTTGAAATGTGTTCCTTCTCTTCATCGACACTGAGCCAGGAGAGAGCGGTGATCGTGGTGATTACAGGGTTAACAAGCAGGGCTGTAACCACACACACACACACTGTTTCAGTGTTTCTGAAGCCCAGTAGGTCTTGTCCTGGGAGCAGAAGCCGGACTCTTGAGTAAATGGAGCTCCCCTAACCTTGATGATCAGGCTCTTCTACCATCAGACTGTGTCGTCCCCTAAACCACCACCGTCCTCATTCATGAACGACCTGCTCCGACCTCCACCTCAGCGGAGAGGAAGTGTGGACAACAGGAACGCCAGGAACACAAAAGAGAAATCCTTCCTGCATATTATCCCATTATTTCTGAACAATGAGGTCTTTAACCTGCTCTTGATTGATTTGATTAAATGTTTTTATTTTTATTTCTGATGAATTAAAACTGAAAGAAAAACGCAATTTTAAACATCAGTTGTACTTTAATTAAAAAATAATCTACAATCAAACATCAATTATTCACAAACAAACGTGACTGACACGTCTGTGCGGAAGAGGACTACAGAAACAGAAGCTCATGTTAGCTTAGCTTAGCATTCTCACAGTTATATTAGCATGTTAGCATATAGCATGGTGTGCTGCGTCTACATGCCGATGAGTCAGATATGATTTCAGTTTCCAGTTTGAGACCAATGTAAGAATGTAATTAC